CTGCCTGCGCCCCCCCTGCCTTCTCCCTGTCTGCTCTCCCTGCCTGCTCCCTCCCTGCTCCCTCCCTGCTCCCTCCCTGCTCCCTGCCTGCACCCCATTTGCACCCTGCCAGCTCCCTGCCTTCTCCTTGCCGGCAATTTGCCTCCTCCCTGCCTGCTCCCTGCCTGTGCACTGCCTGCCTTCTCCCTGTCTGCTCTCCATGCCTGCTCCCTGCCTGCTCCCTGCCTGTGCGCTGCCTGCCTTCTCCCTGTCTGCTCTCCATGCCTGCTCCCTGCCAGCACTTCCCCTGCCTGCTCCCTGCCTGCAAATCTCCTGCCTGCTCCCTGCCTGCAACCCTGACGTGCACCTGCCCTGCTTGTAGCTCTCCCTACCTGCTCCCTGCCTGCACCTCCCCTGCCTTCTCCCTGCCTGCACCCTGCCTGTACCCCTCCTGCCTCCTCCATGCCTCCTCCCTGCCTGCTCCATGCCAGCACCTCTCCTGCTTCCACCCTGCCTTCTCCCTGCCTGCTCCCTGCCTGCACCCTGCTTTCTCCTTGCCTGCAACTTGCCTCCTCCATGCCTGCTCCCTGCCTGCCCCTCTCCTACCTCCTCCCTGCCTGCTCCCTGCCTGCACTCTGCCTGCACCCCTCCTGCCTGCTCCCTGTCTGCAACCCTGACGTGCACCTGTCCTGCTTGCAGCTCTTCCTGCCTGCTCCCTGCCTGCACCCCATTTGCACCCTGCCTGCTCCCTGCCTGCTCTCTGCCTTCTCCTTGCCTGAAACTTGCCTCCTCCCTGCCTGCTCCCTGCCTGCTCCCTGCCAGCACCTCCCCTGCCTTCTCCCTGCCTGCTCCTCTCCTACCTGCACCCTGCCTGCTCCCTGCCTGCACCCCTGAGGTGCACCTGCCCTGCTTGCAGCTCTTCCTGCCTGCTCCCTGCCTGCTCCCTGCCTTCTCCCTGCCTGCTCTCTGCCTTCTCCTTGCCTGAAACTTGCCTCCTCCCTGCCTGCTCCCTGCCTGCTCCCTGCCTTCTCCCTGCCTGCTCTCTGCCTTCTCCTTGCCTGAAACTTGCCTCCTCCCTGCCTGCTCCCTGCCTGAAACTTGCCTCCTCCCTGCCTGCTCCCTGCCTGCTCTTCCCCTGCCTTCTCCCTGTCTGCTCTTCTTGCCTGCAACCTGCCTCCTCCATGCCTCCTCGCTGCCTGCAACCCTGCCTGCTCCCTGCCTGCTCCCCTCTAGCACCTCCCCG